TCCTAAGTCAAATTGGCATTTTTAGGCCTGATGCCCCCTCCTCCTCTCCCTGGAAGATTTTGACACCAGAGGACAGGGCAGGATTGGCTTATGGAAAGAGATCTCTCTGGGTGATAAATGAAGAGACAGGAGGGAGCAAAACCTGCAGCAGGAGACCCAGGGGGAGATGCAGGGACTCAGCATGAGGCGGAGTGGAGGGGAGCAGCTTGGCTCTGGGTAGGTTACATGCAAGTGGTGGCAGAGAGGAAGGATTAGAGCTGCCTCTGGCTCCCCATCTACCTTCTTCTCAGCTTTAGCTCAAATACCACCTCCTCCATGAAGCCTTCCCTGACCAACCAATCTTAAATTACCTGCAGCCCTTTCACTGGTACTCCTTGGTCCCTCCTGCTTTATTGTTCCTGGAGCACTTAATCCCATCTAAATACTTCACTATTGATTTGTCTGTCTCCCCTACCAGGATGGCAGCTCTTTGAGGAATTTATGTCCCTGGTGGGGTTGTTTTTTTTTAATAAACTTTTAACTGCTGCTTACCCGATGCCTAGCACTGTGCCTGACACCTGCTGGGTAAATATTGCTGTGTCGTGAATGAATGATACATGGATGAAGGCAGTTCTATTTTTACCCAGGGCATCCCAGGAACTGACTCTGGGGGTGGTTGATTTGCATCAATTATCTGCCATAATCTCTCTATGGGATTTCAGGCAAGCTGTCCCGCCTCTGACCTCGGTTTACTATTGGTCTCAATGACTTCTTGCTGCTGGTTTTTGGCCCACGGTGAATTTATGTGGACTCTTTTATGCGGACTCTGGGTTTGGAGGACAAAGCCCAGGGCCCCTCCTGGGTTGGGGGTGAAGATGCAAACAGCCCATGCATCAGGAAGCCCTGTTGAGCGCCTTTGCCAAAGGTGCTGTATATAAATAGCAGGTGGTTCAATTATTATCCTGCCCTAATCCAAGCAGGTTCCTAATCCTGTGCAGGTTTGTGTGTGTGGCCTAAAGGTAGAGCCTTCTGGAAGCCCAGACCAGGAGCCGCTTCATTTCTAACCACCTTTAGCCACCCCTGGACACATACAATGGTCACCGTTAAGGTCCTGTCTAAATGCTGCCTGAAGAATTAGACTTTCCCCTGCCCACTGCCCAGATGCTCTGGGCCTCCCTCGTACCCAGCAACACACTCCCCTTCCTCCAGCCCACTCTTTACTGGAGGCTAGAGTGGCCTTTTAAACACATAAATCAGCCCCTGGCACTTCCCTGCTTAAACCCACCAATGGTTTTAGTCTCCAGAAGAAACACAGGCTCCAAGGCCTGCGAACTGCTCAGCCCTCCTCAGCTCAGCCACACTGCCCTGTGGACCCTTTGATTTCAATGCATGGCAACCCCGTGTGCACAGAGCAGAACTCTGGAGGGTCTTCCAGCCATATGACGTTTTGTAATCATATCTCCTGGTCTGTCGCTTCCCAAGGCGCCTCTGGGTAGGTTTGAACCATCAACCATTTGGCTAGTAGCTGACAGCAGCACAAGCCTAAGGCCTTTATACTTCTCCTCCCTCTTCCTGGAGGGACTTTTTTCCCTTGTCCTTTCCTCATGGCTCCTTGATGCACCTCAGCTCCTGGCTTTTCAGAGAAACCAACCTGACCACTCTTATCTAAATTAGCTCACCTCTCAGCTCAATCTTCTGTTGTTCATTAATTATTTGCACTTGTCTACCCCCTCCCTCCTCCTTCCCTCCCTCTCTCTATTAGAATATGAATTCCTCCTGGATAAGGACCTGGTATGGGCCACTGTCATAGCTCCCACATCAAGAGAAATGACAATTTTCTGGCACTTCTCACGCTGCCTCCAAACCCTGTGGCTTTTCAAGGATTGTTGTCAATTTCTTTTCCAAATTCCAATGTGGCACGCGGTTCATCCTGGGTCCAGTTTCAAGGCTTTTTCTAATACTAATTTGTCTGGCCCTAACAACAGGGAGCTCTGGTGACCTAGTGGTAAGGAACTGCACTGCCAACCCAAAGGTACCTGGTTCAAGTTCACCAGATACACCTAAGAAAGATGCGCAATCGCCTCAGAACGATGAGCAATTTCTTCGCACGCAAGTCACTGTCTCTGAAAACCTGCTGGAGGGTCAGCCATGAATCCGTCTGGATACAGGTGATCCTAACAACAATTATCCTAACAGAGGTCTTTTTAGATGAATACTTATGTTGGTTGACCTCATTCTATATAAAGATACTGAAATCCAGATGGTCATTGTCCCAAGTCCGCTCTTAAGAGGTTGTGACAGGATTTGAACTCTGGGAATCTGTCTCATGCTTTTAGCAGCTGTACCCTGCTTGCCTCCTTATCTCAGTCACTTAACTGGGAGTCTAGGGTTGTTGGTTGGAAGATCCCAAATATAAACCTTGCTTCTACTCGAGGGAGACCCTCAGCAAGACAGACTGATACGGTGACAGTAAAAATGGGCTTGAGCAGATCAGAGATGGTGAGGGTAGAAGTAGGTTTAGATCGGTTGTTCATTCATCGGGTCTCTGAGTTGTGGCTGGCTTGATGACATCTAACAACTACTGCAGGTCTTGCAATGTGGCCTCAGGGACTCCAAACCCTCCTTGGCTTCTCTTTACAGGCCCAGCCTTAGCCCAGACCTGGCCTTATTAACATTTTTTAACTCTGCTGTTGGTGGTGTTAGTTGCTCATTCTAACTGATGGAACCCCAGGTGCACACAGCAGAACTGTTCCTTAGGGAAGCAGACTGGCAGGCCTGTCACCTGAGGCACCTTTGCACCCGCAGTCAATCACTTAACCATTTGCTCCTCCTAGCTCAGGTGGCTTAGTTGTAAGGAGTTGCCCCGCTAACCCAAAGGCACATGGTTCAAATCCACTAGCTGCACCATCGGAGAAGGCTGGGCAATCTCTTCCTGTGGGATTTGCTGCCTCTGAAAACCTATAGGAGGGTCAACTACGCAGTGAAGAAGGATGGGTCATGATGAGCTGAGCTAGTTTTCAATTAGTCCTCCAATTAGCAGAGGGGCCTGGATCCCATCCCCTCCCACCTTCCAGAACCTTCTTTTGCCAGGTGACCACAGCACTCTCCCATCACTGACTGGTGGTGGGGGGAGGGGTTTCCTTTTGGAAAGAGTTCTCAAGGAAAGAGAGAGAGAGAGAGAAAGAGGTTTTTCTTATTTTGCTTCAGCACCGGGCTCTGTTCTCTGCTCCAGGCCTCATCCCCAGCTCTCCTCTTAGCTCCTCTTCTCACTGTCATCTTCCTCCAACTGGACTGCAGGCCTTAAAGTTCCCCACAAAACACCCCAATTCCAGGCCCTTCTTCACCCGCAGGACCCCTCATCTGCCACAGAGAAGTCTCCTGCCAGAGAACGCACCTCTGCAGGGAGACCCCAGACCCTGCCCCTCGCCTGCCTGCCATAGCCCCCTCCTCCCTGCGCCTCTTTTCCAGGCGGTACCGAAGTCCTTCCTACACACACGCTATTTTTGTACCATCACTCTCTCCTTCCTCTCCCCCTTCCCCCCCATATTCACTTACTTCCTGCTTTTCCTGCACCTCGGCCCAGCTCGGAAAGAATTGGGTCCCTCTTGCGGACGCCCTCACCCCTACCCCCAGAAGGGGCCCTCTTGGTTTGGGACACAAGGGGCAGGGCCACTTGGTGAGGGGCAAAGCCAGCGCTTCCTCCGCCCCTGCACACACACACATAGACACGCGCGCGCACTGACACACGCGCACACAGACGCCCGCAAACACCCGCCTCGCGGCCCCCAGCCTCTCGCCAGCGGGGAGCCGGGCTAACCGGGAACTGCCCGCGGCCGGAGTCGCGAGGCGAGGGTAGATCGGCCGCAACTTCCCCAGTCCACCTTAAAAGGACGCTGTCGCCTGCTCGCGGCGCTGACCTTAGAAAAACAAGTTTGCGCAAAGTGGAGCGGGGGGCCCGGCCTCTGGGCAGCCCCCAGCGGCGCGTCCACAGCCTCGCAGCCCGCGCTGGCGGCGCAGGTCCGAGCCGGCAGTGAGTGGAGGCGATGCGGGAAGCGGGCCGGCTTGGGCTGGGGGGGGCGGGGGGGCGCACAGCCAGAGCTTCCCAACTAGCACCGGGTCGGGGCCCGAGGCTTGCCGAGTCCCGAACCTAAGCGGGGAGCACGGACGAAAGGGGCGGCCGAGGCCGCCTCCCCAAGCGGCCGCCGCGGACCAGGAGGGGGTGCCGGGGCGCGGGCGCGCAATCGGGAGGCGGAGGGTGGGGGAAGACACTGGAGCCCCGGCCCCGGCGCGCCGCGCGGCCCGCGCTCCCTCCCACCTTCTCTCCCTCCCCCGGGGCGCGCTGCTGGCGGGCGCGCAAGCGGGCGCTCGCGGGGAAGGTGCCGCGGCCGGAGCCCTCCACCTCCTCCGGCGGGAAGAGAGAGGAGAGGAGGGCGGGAGGCGGCGGCCGGAGGGCGGGGGCGGCGGCCAGGACTGCGGGCCGGAGCGGGGCGAGCCGGCGGCGCCGCGGAGGAGCCCAGGCGGGGCTGGGGGGCTGCGGCGGGGGCGGCTCCGCGCGGCCGGGCGGCCGTGCTTGCCCCTCGCCCTGCCCGCGTCTCTCAGCTCTCCCGCGCGGTCTGTCTTGCTCTGCGCGCTGCTCGCTCACTCCTCTTTCTACCTCGCTCGCGCTCTCTCCCTCCCTCTCTCTTTCTCCCTCTCCGCGTCTCTGGCTCTCTGCCTGGCTCCCTTGGGTCTGTTTCTCTCTCCCGCCGCCTCCCTCTGTCCGTCTCCGCTTTATTTCTCGCGCGCTTGGGGTCTCCGCTTTCCGTCTCTCAGTCTCTCCCGGGGGGAGGGGGGGCTTCTCCGAAAAGCCGGCGGCGGGCACCGCGGCCCCCCCACCGCCCCGGGCGCCCGAAAGGGAAGGGAGCAGCCGGGCCGGGAGGGGCGGCGGGGGAGGGGGCGCCTTAGTCATTTCCCCGCTCCAGCTCGCGCCGCCCGGGCGCGCACTCACGGCCGCTCTCCTCCTCGCTCCACAGTCGCGGCCCATGGAGCCCGCCGGCCCGGCCCCCGGCCGCCTCGGGCCGCTGCTCTGGCTGCTGCTCGCCGTGTCCTGCGCCTGGCCAGGTAAGCACCCCTCTCGGCCCTCCCCAAACTGCCAGTGGCTCAGGCCGCCACTCGGATCCACTTGGCTGATGCCAAGCAGTAATCGGAGGGAGAGATGCCTGCCATTTGGGGGTAGAGTTGCGGAAACTGAGGCCCAGAGAGGGCCAGCCACTTGCCCAAGGTCACACAGCCAAGGATAGAACCCAGATCTCTCCCCGGAGGTCTGTCTGTCCGGACCCGGACGGCGCTCTGGACTGGGCACTGGGGCTCAGTGGATGAGTGGGCTGGGGCAGCCCCTGCCCCAAGAGGAAGGATGGTCTGTTTGTGTTTTCAGGGCATTATTAATAGAAGCAGTCTAGTGCGGGGACTTGGGTTTTCCACATGTGTGACTCTTGGGTCTTAAAAAGGGGGTGGGGGCAGAGGTCATTCCTGTGTGGCCTGGGATGGAACAGAACAGGGGCCTCGCTGGCTCTGGCACTCGGAGTAAACAGCTTCAGTGTTGGGGGGGGGGGTGACGCGAAGGAGGAAGGGACGCCACGGTAACCCTGGGGTGAGCTGGTGCGAACAACAGATCCTGATGTGAAAACACATCCGAATGTCTCTGTGGTCGCCAGGGCCCTCTTGCTGCTGGGGTGAGCACCCGGCTTTCCCTTCTTACCGCACTCCTTTCCCGCGGTTCCCTACTTCCTCCTACCTTCCCCAGCTCCCTGCAGCTCCCTGCAGCTCAGGTGCTCTGCGAGGCTGTTACCTGTAGCTCAGAGCATGTCTTTTTTGTTGGCCTACATCAAACACCTGGCTGTCGCCAGCAGGCGGGCTCTGAAGGCTACTGTGTGTGTTCGCCAAGGGGTGAGGTCACCGCTCAGGAGTTCCGCTTCTTAAAGGGCTTTTGCAAAACCCCGGTCTCCTGGGAGGGTGTGGGATTCAGAGAAACGGCATGTGAGGAGGTGGGGGCACAGCGGGGTACTTGGGGTTTTGGCTTCTTGGGAGCTGTGTGTCGTCAGAGAGGTGTCTGTACCTCCTACCCTTGAGGGAGTTAAGGATGAGCTCAGTATCCACTTCTCTGCCCGCCTCCCCCCTTTGCATTTGCCTAGAAACTGGTAACCATCTTACAGCAAGGGAGAAAAGAGAACTAGCAAAGAGTGGGTGGAGAGAGAAGTGGGGGTGGACAGCAGCTTCTCTCTGCCCTCCAGTTTTCTCTGAACCCTCCGAGTCCACATGGGTACTCCCTACCCCCACCCCCTGGGTTTTTCAGTTCCAGTCGGGTCCTTGCTGGAAGGAAGGAAGTGTGGATATATTTCATGTCCCTGCTGAGTGGCATCTCCAATCTCTCCTTTCCTGCCTGGCCCTCTGCAAAAGTCCGAGTTCCTGCTCTTCTGTTCTTTGTCCTTCCCTGCCTGGAAATGATTGAGGTTCCTTCACCATGGCTCTGCTTTCCTGAATCCGAGGAGGACTAGGCCCCGGCTTATTTCTAAATGCCTGTTCCAGACCCTTCTCAGACTCGACGCTGTGGTTCAGTCCTTGGCAAATGAGCGGTGACTCTAGATTAAGGTCCCCTTTCCTGGGGTTCGGGCTGCCTCCATCACCAAGCAACCCCCTTCTTGCGAGCCAATCTCCCCCTTGTGCCTATAAAAACAATCTATAAAACGGTAAAGATTAGGACATAAAACTTCGGTTCCAATCCATTCAGCATCAATAGCCTGAGAAAGTGGGAGCAGCAGAGGGACCCAAGATTAACTTTGAAATAAATCAATCTTGGGGGATAAGAATGTACTTTTTGGTTGAAGGTGACGGGGTGATGACTGGTGTGTCATGGTCGCCTTAGATCACACCACCCAGCACCCTTTGCCCTGTTCTGCAGGGTCCTGTGATCCCCTTTTAGGCCTGGCTGTGGAATTCACCTGTTTTGGCTCAAGGCTGGCTTCTGGCCCCTCCTTCAGTAGCTCCAGGCATGGAATTTATGACAACACTGAGTGCAGCAGGACAGAAGGGCAGGAAGGTAGTAGAAGGCAGTTGTCCAATTTTCTAAGAAAATGGATTTGTTCGAGTGAGAAACTCAAATGTCAGGCTTAGCAAGGCGGCTCTGGATTGAATGCCTACTAGTGTCTCAGGCAGAGCTGTCAGCCTGGGAGGTGTCACGTGATGACTGCAGCTTCACATGATCACCAAGTGAAGGGGGCTGGTCATGTGAATTCTCTTGGCTGGGGGAGACCAGGGGAAAGAAGTTTCTAAAGATTGTTTTCCGCATAAAGGCCACCAAAGAGGGATTCTAGAAACGATGCCAGTGAAGTCGCTTAACCTGTATTCTGGGAGCCAGTGTGAGGCGGATGTTCTAAAACAGCCGTGCAGAGGGCGATGCTGAAACCAGGGGAGACCCTGGGGCCCAGGGACCACAGTTAGGCAGACTGATGCTGCACCATCTGAAGGCTGCACTCTGGGATACAGCAAACATGCAGAAACGGTTCTTGCTTGGCTCCTCCTAGACCTTGGAACCTCTGGGTCACCCCTCTTCTTGGCAGATCTGTTTACTCTTGCCCTCTGTCCTGGAGGAGGCCAGGCCAAGTGGAGGTTCAGGCCAAGTTGGGGGCAGCTGGGCCCTCTGGTAAACCTCTGTGACGTAAGAGTATCAGGGTGGCATGTTGGTGGCTCCCCTGTACTTTCCTAAGTGATAAAGTTACTCTCATTTCCTCTTTCATAAGAAGAAAAGAAGGGAGGCTCTGCCCCAACGTGATTGGGCTGTTTGGAGATCTTTTAAAGCCCTAGTATTCTGTGGGTACTTTCTGGCTGTTCCCTTAGCAACCCCGTGGAGACCCGTAGTGTGAATCGTGCTGTTTCCTGCAGACCTTCAGCACACAAGCAGTCCCGAAGTGAACCATGTGTGGGGAGAAGGGGAGGAACCAATGTTCGTTGAAACCACTTGTCAGCATGCGAGCTAAGTGATTTATCTGCGTATGCTCATTAATCAGCAGAGTCCAGAAGAGGAAAATGGGAGTCTAACACGGATTACCACTAAACTCTGTGACTTCCTGTGTATCGGAGGAGAACCAGGCTCCAGAGAGTTTTATTTTATTTAGTTCTTTTTAAAGAATGTATTTTGTTTTTGTTGGTGTTGAGGGCACACGATAGAACAGACATTGTTCAACAGTTTCCCCAGGTCCGGCTCAGTGGTAGAGACGATGTTGTACTTTCCATTGTACGGCCATGCTTCACCTCACGTTCCAAGTTGTTCCTCCCTTATTAAGATACACACACGACCCCCTAAGTGTCCTATTTGATCTTTGCCATTGCTGTTGTCAGTTTTGATTTCTCAGCGGTAGATCTTGTACAGTGCGCCAGAGTGGACATTCTTTCTGAGTGAAGGGAAACTATTGTGTGGGTTTTAAGAAAACTTCAGGGGAGGTTTCCAATGAAGACTTTACGCGTTATCTCAGGGCACTTGCTTCAGAGGTTCATCCAGCCTCCCTAACTCCAGAAAGTCTGGAGTCCAGCAGAATTTGAAATTCTGTTCTGCATCTTCCTCCTTTTGATCAGCCTTCTATATAATCTAGTAAAAATGTTCAGGAGTGGAAACAAGGAACCATCCACTTTTTCTGGCTCACGGCAAAGGTTGTTCATGAGAAAATTAGTCACATTGCATTTTCTTCTTCTAGTCCTGATAACTCCTTCCTCTGTTGTTCCAGGTAATAGAGACCAATTGCCATACCTTGGAAGGCCACTTGCAAGCTTTTAAGACTGCAGGCCATATGTAATAAGCTAAAAAGTGAAACAGAAGCACTAACCAATTCACCATGACCCTGCATCTCCACACCAGGGAACCAGATCCTAGGAGGTGTTGGTCCATAAGTTTTCGCTGACCGAATTGTTATAGAAATAGATCACCAGGCCTTTTTCCTAAGACGCAATCCTCCAAATATGTGTTAGCTGAGCAAGGGCTTGCACCACCCAGAGACACGCAAGTCTAAAACTTGGCCAAGGAGTACATGTGGTAAGGAGCCCAGGTTTTTGCATCTAGACCTCCTAGAATAGCCTCGAGGAAGGAGTTTAATGATTCAGTCAGGCTCTCTGGGTCCAAACAGGAGAGTTTTGGAGCTTAGGGGCAGAAGGAACCCCACCTGATCTTAAATGGAGGCTTGTAGATTCCATCTGGGACCGAAGCTTTTAACTGAGTCACAGTATTTCTCAGATGGAAATGCTGACAGCCCCTTGGTTCTCAGCGCCCGGGGAATGACGTAGCTCCGTAAGCACCCCCCCCCCATCTGGGCTGCCGAGCTCTGGAGCCCCTAGAGCTGGAATATTCCTCCTTGCGTCTTCCCGGTGCCCTTTGCAACAGATGGTGAGGGGGTGTGCAAGAGGAAGGGAGTCTAAAAGTGTTACACGGATCCCACACGCTCGCTCGCTACCTCCAATGGCTTCCTGCGACAGGTTATTTTCTTATTTGTCGCCTTGGACTGACGAAGGTTTTTCTTCTCTCTCTCCTTTTGAAATGTGCTGAGATTTCTGGCTTGTCAACACAAGTCATCATGTCACTTCCCTGCGCAAAACTGTTGAGTGGGTCCAAGTTTTCTCTAAAAAAAATAAAATAAATAAAATAATGACTTTAGCAGCTGGGCTGGCTCTCTCCTTTACTGGCCTTATTTCTTGCCACGTGTTTTCTAAAAACTGGCACACTGAGATGCTGTGAGATAACAAGGCTTCCGGACAGCCCTTCCTGGGCCATTCATGTACCTTAGCACCTCCAAGGCCCTGAGAAGTCCTGCAATGTGGAATTACAAGTTGATCCATATTTACGCCAGTGTTCTCCAAACTTGTGTGAACAAGAGGCCTTTGCTTTGCATAACACTCATTAACATATGCCCTAGCACTGTTGGATAACTGTTCTCGTTCAAATCCATGCCCTCAGCTAAACTTGAAGTTCCCCTTGCACCTAGTACCCTGGCGTGAGCTATTTCCCATCAGAAATAACCTTCCTGTGATGGCCTAGAGGTATAAGGAGTTGTGCTGCGAATCCAAAGGCAGATAGTTCG